GAAGGTGGAGAGTTTTGTTATTGCCCTGTTTGCTCACAGAAAGTTCTTCAAGCCTCTCTCTGGGGTTCAGGGACTCGGGGGTACATGGGTGTGGTGTAGTGGGGCTCCCAGTGTAGGTGTACCCTCTTCTCCCTGCTTCAGGAAGGGAGCAGGTGGGACAGGTGGCCCCGTCACATGACAGGTTGAACCCATTGAGATGACCAATGCTCGACTTCTTTTGTCCGCAAGAGATGGCGCCCTCATATGGTGAACCTAACACATCCCGTCAGACGGTGAAGCGTGTACACACTTCCCCTCCCCCTGCCTCCTGCCCGTGTCGATATTCAGACCCTTGTTTCGTTGATACCGGTTCATTTATTCATTCAGTAGTTTTCCCGCCCCTCTGTCCTGTGTGCCAGGGGTGGTGGGATGGTACTGAGCAAACGCAAGCCGGCCCTGCCCCCATGGAGCTGACGGTGCCACAGGCAAGAGCTCCAGCTGCGCGTGTGCCAGGGCACCCGGGCTGCGCCGCTGCAGCTACGGTTCCCCACGGCGCTGCCCCTCACCTGGCGGCCCTGCGTCCCTGCGTCCCTGCGGCCTGGGGCGGCTGTCCTCTGCACGCCGGGGGGGGGGGGGTGTGTGTGTGTGTGTGGCCGCCACGGCGCCCTCTCGTGGCTGGTGGTTGGTTCCCACAGCTGGGGGCACAGCCGGGGTACCAGCCGGAGCACCTCCGCTCTCTCCATGCGGCTGTGGCTTCTCAGCGTCTCAAGAAACCTAAGGGGAAGCTACAAACTTCCTTCTGACCCAACCTCAGGGGTCCCAGACGTCACTACAGTTGTCTTCTAGGGGTCAAAGACTCCTAAGGCCCAGCAGGCAAGGGGAGATTGTGGAGCAGAATCAGATCGCTCTTCTTTTTAAAAAATATGTTTGGTTTTAGAAAGAAAGGAAGGGAGAGGGAGAGAGAGAGACACATTGATCGGCTGCCTCCCACACGCCCCCAACTGAGGATCAAGCCCGAAACCCAGGCATGTGCCCTGACCAGGAATTGAACCGGGACCTCTCGGTGCGTGGGATGATGCTCAATCCACTGAGCCACACCGGCCGGGGCTAGATCTCCCGTCCTGATGGAGCCTGGGAGCCCTCAGACAGGTGTTGGTGTGCCATCTGGGACAGGTGTTGTCAGTGTTGGCGTGCCCATCTGGGACAGGTGTTGTCGGTGTTGGCGTGCCCATCTGGGACTGGCTCTCTGGCCCAGGGAGGCCCAGGGAAGGGAGCTGCGGGGAGGGGGTGGTGAGGACCCACGTGGCTCCGGTGCTCAGGCTGTGGGGAGCCCTGTCAGGTGGGTGAAGAGGTGCAGGAAATCTTCCTGGTGGAGAAATGGGGGGGGGGGGTGTAGGCCACGGTGGAGCAAATGTGCGAGTCCAGGCCTGGAGGAAAGTGTGCGGCTGTGGCGGTCCGTGATGGGCGGCAGGGAGGGCGGCAGAGCCCTGGCTGCCCCTCAGGCGCAGGATGAGGACCTTACAGATTCTTGGACACTCGGCTCCCTTTTCACTGGGTCACTGCTGCAGGGAGACCGGAGTGGTCGAGTCAGACGCAGGGCGGCCACCGGTGCCCTTGCCGAAGGTGTCCCCCCCGAAGCCCTGCGTGCCTCACCTGTGCAGCGAGGACACGGTGGGCTCACCTCACAGGGCTGGCCGTGCCCGGAGGGCCCTGGGTGCAGCAGCTGCTCAGGAGCGCCGGCTGCCCTGGCGGACCCTGGCAGAGCGTGGAGGTGTGTTCATTGCGAGACGGCTGGGCTGCAAGTGGTCCGAGCGGAGGGGCGGTGGTATTTAAGGGGCCGCTTCCGTCCACCTGTGCCCCCTGCGTGCACGCGGCTCGGTCTTCCCCTGGGGGAGCTTCCAGCTGTTTCAGGCCCCCCCAGGAGCACTTGGCTGGGGCCTGAGGGTAAGCTGCCCGTTGTCGGGGAGTCCCCTCCAACCCAGGGGTCTGCCGGAAAGAGAGGCGCTCCTCAGCTGACTTGGCCTCATCAGGCCCAGACGGTTGGCGAGACCAGTGGGTCAGCTGCAGTTCAGGCCCAGAGGTCACTGTGTCAGGAACACAAGGCAGAACTTGAGGTGGAGACTCAGACCTCTGGGCTCTGCGTCCTCTGTGCCCGGTCGGGTGAGCACCTGCAGGGCCTTCATGGTGGGATGTGGTGCAGGCAGCCTCCCCACCCCCGACTGACAAGCGGGAGCTGGATCAAGGAAGTGGAGAAGGTCATTCATTCGGTCCCTGGGGATTTCCTGAGCAGCCAGGTGGGCCCGGGACCAGGTGACTTTGGAGCGCGCTCTCGGGGGGCCTGGGAGAGCTCAGAGCCCTGCAGGCCTTGCCCGCGGAGGACGTTCTCACCACCAGCCGGCCGGGTTCATTTCCGAGCTTGCCTTTGGCTGACCCCTCTGAGCCTCCGTAGTCTCATCCGCAAATGGGAACATCACCCCATTTACTCTTTTTCCCTATTGGGAGGCTCAGAGGCTGTGCAGCCTGAGGACCTTGCCCGGAGTAGAGTCTTCCCAGCCCGATGGCTTCCTGTCCCGGGTCCTGATGGTGCCGGCACATTGCAGGGCCCTGGGACGGCATCTTCGAGGAGTCCTGCTCCCAGACTTCTGGCCACCGAGGTTTCCCTCTCTGGCTTCCTGGGGGTCAGGCTGGCCGGCCACGTGACCTCATGGGACCCTAGAGGGTGAGGTGCCCTCTCTCGCCTCCTCCTGCGCAGTCACCTTCCCTTCCCATTGGTAGACAGCGGCAGGGGAGGTGACAGTTCCTTAAAACAGATTTATACTCTTGGATGATTTTATGGGATTTTGACTTATAAAAACCCAAGAGTTGACACTCTGATTTATCTCCTCCTGAGTCAACAGGATGTACCAGATGTAAAGAGATTCAGTTCACTGTAGTGTTTGTGGTTCCAATTGTGGATGCGATGAACTGTAATGGAAAGTGCTCCCAAGTAAATACGGCAATAAATAATAAATAAATAAATACGGACACGGACACTTTCACCGTGTCTGTTACATTGTGCGTTCAGCGAAGTAGCGTAAGTGTGGTGCTGAATGTCACATAGTGTCTGCAGAGTTGGAGCAGTAGAGGAAGCCAGGGTGACCCCCCCTCCCCCCCCGTCAGGACACTTTTTATTAAGGGACGAGATGGTAAACTAGGAATCTTGGAACTGCCCCGGACGGTGTAACTGTGGTTGTGTGGCAACTTGGAATATTACTTTGCTTTCTGTTTCTTGCTGTCGCCGGAGCCGCAGGTCTGATTTCCGGAGATCAATATACTGCCTAGCTTTTAATGGGATTTTCGTATTGCCGGGAGTTGGCGTGTTCTGATAAAGAAAGAACCTAAAAATTGTACATCCCTTAATTGGTAAGAAGAGAGATGTTTTGATGGGCCACCGATGGAAACATTGATTTTTACTGCCTCTGCGCTGTTCCAAGTGGTGTGTTGGGCCATGTTCCCTGCTACAGAAGGTGGCAGCTGGCTCTCTGATGTGCTGATTTGTGTTTTCGGGTGCTTGGAAGTGCGTGGGCTGTGCAGACGGGAGCAGTAGAGCCCTTATATCATTATCTGCTTCCAAATTGGTATATTCATGGGACTGTGGCTTTCACCTCGAATCGAATGCGTTCTTTGCTTCATTCATATTTGCTTTGGTGACCAGCCCTCGGTGGCTTAAGGGTTGTGTGCCGTTGGCTGTAACTGCAGTGTTACTGTGTGGCACACGCATGCACACGTGCTCCTTTGTATATGCACATGTGTTCGCATCAGTGTCTTCGCACATGATGGCGATTTCTCTCTTTAATTTAAATCAGTGCTAGTTACTGGGTGGGTAGATCCGATTCCAGGACAGACTGTGGGAAGAGACACCACAAACTTTGATTTTGTCGTCTGAGTCTCTGTATTTTAATGGGCAAGTTTAATCCACTGACATTTATTGGGATTACTGATATATTTTGTGTTACATTCACCGTGCGTATTTTGCACTTTGATTTACAACTTCTTAATGTGTCCTGTTACTCTCAGCTGGAGGCTGCGTACCAGTCCCCCAGCCGTGCAGGGGAGGGCGCTAGACAGGAGGCAGGGTGTCGAGGTAGTCACCTGTAGGGTGCTGGGGATGCTGCACCTCCTTTGCTGGATGCCAGGTACCTTACCCGGGAAATGGGGAAGACAAAGCTGTCCCTCTGCGGGCACACATGACGGCTTCCATCTGTAGGGGTGTGAGACTGAGAAATGGATCTACCTGTATGTAACCGCCTTTGAAACACTGCAGAACGCGTCCCCAATGTCAGACATCATCGTCACCATTGTTGACGCGCTTTTCCGTACAGGTGAGGCACTGGCTTGCACAGTGCCAAGCGGAGAGTAGGCATTTTATTGGAAAGAAATGGGTCGAATGAATCGAAGGCTGGCTCTCCCTGCCTGGGCTGATACCAGGGCACAAGCCAAGGCTCAGGTACATTTTAAATGTGTGGCTTGGCGACCCATGGTCCTGCCAGCACGCCTGCTCCCTGGACCCAGAGTCAGGACCTCTGTGCAGAGAACTGAGCCAGCACCGGTGCATTTCAGGGCTTGTTGTGCGGAGGGTGCACGTGGCCACCAGATCTCTTAGCTCCAACTCGCAAGGCTTTGAGGGGACGAGGTGTTTAGGTGTGTTAGGAACCCTGACAGGGGCTCTGAGAAGCGTGTAAGAGGTGCGTTTGTAGGCGACAAATGGAGGTGGGTCTTAGCCCCCAGCATCTGTGCGCAGAGGGACAGTGACAGGAAATCCCTGCAGAAGATTTGCACCAAGAATTAAAGAATCTAGTTGAGAATTATGGCACCACATGCTACAAAACACCCCCCATATATTAATATCCTGAAAGGCATCAGAATAATGGACCCTAGGAGGTAGAGTAATTAAATGTATCTTTAAAAAACGCCTGGCAATTCTTTAAAACGCTTCCCCGAGACCCCGTCAGCTCACAGGACTGTATTCTTCCTGTTGGCAGGAGGCCTAGACGGAGAGCCCGAGTGTGACCAGAAGACCAGCCGGGCGCTGGAGGACAGGAACAGCGTGACGAGTCAAGAGGAGAGAAATGAGGACGATGAAGACATGGAGGATGAGTCAATTTACACCTGCGATCACTGTCAGCAGGACTTCGAGTCTCTGGCAGACCTGACGGACCACCGGGCCCACCGCTGTCCTGGAGGTATGCTGAACAGCGCCGGGATTCTGACAGGTGGTTACGCGGGTAATTGGACATAGCAACAGCTTGAAGCCTCAAGTGAGATTAAAGAATTAATCATGTAATTTTACAGTTAATGTCATTTTATTGTGGTGTCTTGGGTACCCTGTATCCGCCTTTTAAATAATTAAAAATAAAAGCGACAGCTTTCTGGCTGGCAGGAACAAGGGGGAGGCTCCCGGCCCTGCTCCCCAGTCCGTACTCTTTACTAGGGAGGTCTGCACCCTGGATTTCGGGAAGGCCTTTTGGAAACCCAGCAATTACGAGGTTGTTGGCGCACAGGCAGGGCTTGTGATGGGCGGGGATGGTGTCGCGGCCGGAAGAGCTGTGCAGAGAGACTGGGCTTCACCGCTGCGCTTGGCCTCCTGCTCTGAGTGGCTGGTTGCTGCCGTACCAGATAGTAGTCCTGTTCCTGTGTCCTCGGTGCCTTTGAGAAGGTGGGCAAGGCCAGTGTTTTATAGGAGCGATTTAAGCCTTCACAAATCGTGTGTGGCTGTGTTTCTGGGGCACAGGGGATGCATGGGATGGGGGACAGTGGCATGTGTATTCCCTGGGGGGTGGCAGCTGTGCTACAGGGCTCTGCGTTTGGAGCATCGTGTTCTTTACACAGCTATCCTCAGACGTCTTCTTTCTTGATAATTGTTGGATGGAAATATCTTGGATGCTAGTTTATGGGGTAAGGACCTAAAATCTCAGACCGGTATTCCAAAGTGGACCTGTCACCTGTTTTGGGGGGTGGGATTTGCTAGTAAGAGGTAGGTTGGGACTCAAAGCTTTCAATTTCCCTACCTTTTATACCATCTCAGAAGTTTGAAAGTCAAGTGTTTGGAGAACTACTATGACTTTCCCTTAAGTGACATTCATACCTGCACAGCCCTGGCTAGACCAAGTGTCCATTCTCAACCTCTGAAGGGAGCAGAGACCCCAAAACAATGTGCCCAGGAGGACTCTTACAGGCTTGGACTTTTGAGGGCTCAGCAGATCAAACCCCAGTCAGTTGGAATTTGTGATATTTCAACCGCAGGCAGAGGTGGTGGCTGACTTATGAGGCACTGAGAGGGAAAGGTGATTGCTTGAGCAAAGTCACATGGTGATCTGGGGGCTGAGCCAGGAGGCTGGTGTGTTTCTTCATTCAGCCAAGACCTGAGATGGAATCTAACCTATAAAAGAATGAAATATTGTCACTTTTTGAACAACTAGTGAATTGGTCTTCTAATGAAAAGCCATTCTCATTATTGCCTTACTGTGTAGGTGCTGGAGCAGGTCCCTCTGGACCCTGCTGAGTGCAGCTTTGTTATCCTTCAGCCTTTGCCCGGAGGGCCCTACCCCAGCCTGCTGCCGGCCCTCCCTCCAGTTCTCAGAATTCAGGAGACGTTCATGTCTCCCTTCACGCTTTTGAGATTGGTGGCTTTTCTAGGTGGAGAAGGGAAAATGAAACTTTGGGGCTATTTGTGGGGGTCTATGCTGGAAATAAGATAGCTGTGCTGCGGTCCCAGGCAGGGCTGTCGTCCAGTGGCCGTCTCAACGGCAACCCCATGTGCAGGAACCCAGCCGTCCTTTTCCATGCTGCGGTGTCCACCAAGGTGTCTGCCCACTCCCAACAAGACCCCACTCATGACCTCCATGGGGAAGCGGGAGCCAGGGATGTCCCCCAACTCCGGAGTAATGGAAAGGAGTCAGTCATTCCTAGAAAGAGTATGGGAAATGACCTCACTTAATAGCATCCCTGAGAAGTTCATTACGGCTCAGTACAGGTGTGACCCCGTGTGGGAGAGTGTCCCTGACTCGGAGGAGAGAGGTGAGGAGTCATTTCCCCCCAGGTCACAGGTTCCTAGGGTTACCTGATGGCAGAAAACCACTGGGAATTGCACGCGTGTCTTACCTACAACAGGCCCCTCCCTTTCGGTGGTGCGGTGGTTTCCAAGCTGTCCCCAGAGGTGTCTCCTGGCTATTGGGTGGGTACTGGGGCCTGTTTGGCTGAGGGGGCTATGACACCCACCTCTTAAAAGTCTGTTTTAGCCCTGGCTGGTTTGGCTCAGGAGTTAAAGCGTTAGCCCCTGGACCAGTGAGTCGCTGGTTTGATTCCGGCCAAGGGCATGTACCGACCTCGGTTGCGGTTTGTCCCCGGCCCTGATTGGGGTCATAGGGGAGGCAGCCACTCGATGTGTCCCTTTCATATCCATGTTTTTCTCTCTCTCCCTCCCACTCTATCTGAACAAAAATGGAAAAATGTCCTTGGGTGAGGATTAAAAAAAAAGTCTGGTCCTGGCCGGTTTGGTTCAGCTGTTAGAGCGTTGGCCTGTGGTCCAGAGAGACCCGGGTTTGGTTCCCGCTAAGGGCATGTACCTTGGTTGCAGTTTGTCCCCAGCCCTGGTTGGGTCCTGCGGGTGACGACCACTCAATGTGTCCCTTTCGCGTGACGTTTCTCTCTCTCTCTGTCCCCCCCACTCTATCTGAACAAAAAATGAAAAATGTCCTCGGGTGAGGATTAAACAAAAAAATGTCTGCCCTGGCTGGTTAGGCTCAGTGGTTAGAGCGTCGGCCTGCGGTCCGGAGAGACCTGGGTTTGGTTCCCACTAAGGGCGCGAACCTCGGTTGCAGTTTGTCCCCGGCCCTGGTTGGTCATGCGGGCGGCAGCCACTCGATGTCCCTTTCACGTCCATGTTTCTCTCTTTCTCTTCCTCTCTCTCCCTCAAAAAAAAGAGTCTGTTTTATACACGGGGCTTTAGCATAAGATATTTGAGCGTTGGCTCTGCTTTAAAAGTTTGGGACGAGCACAGAAATGCAGTCGCAGGCCCTCCGGGGCCAGGCTCATGGGTCTGCTGGGCCTCAGCATCGGCCACCCAGTCTCAGTCCAGGGGACAGTGCCGGTGGGCATCGCTGTCCTCGTGGAGTGCACACCTGGAGGGACCTTGGACGGCTGACCGCGTTCCAGTGGGGACGGTGGTCACTGGGGCTGGGCGGGGTGGGGCGACTCTGGGGGCTCAGGGGTGTTTCTGAGTCTTGTTGGGGGGGAGGCGGGGCCCTCCCTGCTGAGAAGTGGGGGCCTGTGCGCCCTGCTGTGTGCTCCTTGTGCCCTGCAGGGGCGGTGTGGGGGCGGGGGTGGGGATGGAGTGTGGGGGCGGGTGTGGAGATGGAGTGTGGGGGCGAGGTGCAGGGACGGGGTGTGGGTTGGGGGTGTGGCCATCTTGGGTGGGGTGGGGAGCAGCGTTTTTCCCGTAAGGATCAGGGATGGTGCACAGTTTCAAATGAAACTCCAGACAGACAGGGGTTTTTTGAATGCTGAGGTTAAAAAATAATAATAATAGGAGGAGATTTTGTTCAAATAGCGACAGCAAAAAAAAAGTGCTCCTCCTGGCCTCGTTCTGCCCGGCCTTGGCGCCCCCAGGGCTGTGGAAGGGCAGACCCTCCTTTTCCGGCAGAGGGGAGGTGCTGCGCGCGGAGAGCCGGGGGGAGAGTTAACCAGCCGCGTTGGTTCAGCTGTGGCCGCGCGGCCTGTGGGCCCTGATGCCCGGTGGGCGCGGAGGCAGCCGGCCGCCAGCCCCGCGGCGTCTGCCGCTCCCGGCCGGCCTTTGTGTGCGGCGCTGAGCCGTCTTGCTCCGGCAGCGTGGGAGGGGGCCCCTGCCTCACTGCTTAGGGTGCCCTCGTACTGTTCCATTCGGGCGAAACAGCGAGCGCCAGCCAGCCCCCGGGCGGTGTCCTGCCAAGTGCACAGGTGCAGGCACGCGCCTGCTGCTTACGGAGCGTGCTCAGCGCCTGGGTGTCCGCCGCCCCGTCTCCCGTGCTGAAGGCCTGGGGGCCTGAGCCCAAGTGATACCCCGCGAAGAGCTCTTCTGCATCCAGTTGAGTGCGAGGAAGACAAGGCCCTGCGGCCACAGAATGTCTGCAGACGGGGGCCCACCCAGGAGGCCACGTTCCACGTTTGCAGGGGACACGGGAACAGCTTCAGCCGCCCGCGGACACGAAAGAGACGTAAATGAATGGAAAGGCAGGCCCTGTCCTTGGGTGGAAGGATCCAATGTCGTAAACACATCGCTGTCCCCTAAGTTAACCCCTTAACTTAACCTTGACCCATGGAAAGGGCCGTGGATTCACTTAGAAACGACCAGCAGGTTCCAAAGTGCATCAGGGAAAACAGGCAAAGACGAAGGACATTCCAACAAGGGGCGACGGGCGGGGCTGTGGGGTTCTCAGCCGCCTGGGACACCCCACGGAGCGGAGGCGGCGTGGACCTGAGGAGGTGGAATTCAGTGTGAGAAGTGTCACTGCAGACTAGCGGGGACAGATGGGTCACTGCGGAATCGGGATCCGGACGAAGAGGGTAGCCATTCTGAAAAAAGGAAATTGGACCTCTTCCTCTTAACACCAAACAAATCCCAAATGGATCAGAAATCAAAACATAAAATGAAAACTTAAAAATACTAAAAGAAAACAAGAGAGTTTTTAAAAAGTATAATAGTATCAAGAGGGGAAGCCTTTTCTAAATATAACCCTAAACTCAGAAGCCATAAAACAAAAGACAGAAATATTCAACTACATAAAAATAAAACATTTCTGCATTGCCAAAACCACAGTAAATCAAACCAGGGACACACGGCACCATCAAAAGGGATTTTTCTCAATGTGTAAGGCGCTCCTTCTGACCCTAAGAAAATACCCAGTAAATCAACAGGCAACAGGGCAAAGGCCGGCTGCCCCAGGCCAGTGCCCACGTGGATTGGTTGGTGCCACACTGGTCTTTAGATATGTTGAATATCTCCCATGTACAAAGGACAGAATGGAGCCAGAAAAAGAAATACCACTGATCTGAAACATATAGAAAGGTCTAGAACCTCCTTTATATAAGAGAACTCTAAATTTATTTATTTATTATTATTTTTATTAATTTATTTTTGTAACAGATGTTTCTCCTTTCTCCCTCATTGATACTCTCCTCCTGATCTCCCCCGCCCCCGTCCCCAGCA